AATAAGCTGGATGAAAGGAGTACAGGATGAAAGGACTGATTAATGAAAACAGTGTGTGATTAACGGTACTGACTTGCATTTGACAATGCACCTATTTTCAGCAGAATGATCCATGAGTGCTGTTCTCTTACTGTTACACTTCAAAGTGGAGAAGTGATCAACCATTTTTCACCAGCTTCTGCATTCATATTACGATACCAGATGAAACAAACCATGGGACCAAGCCCCACATTTTCATAACCTAACCTGGCTCTTTACCAACTGACAGAACTATGGACGCAGCAGAATTTTGACACACTGCAGATTTCTCAGAATGTTTTAGGGATAAGGAAGTTACAGGTAACCAAACGAGTAAGGCATTGGAGGAATTTGAACATGGATGAGAATCTCAAAATGGAAAGTATTGCTGGACTAAAAACAATGTAAGCATAATAGGCCTGAACTAAAGACAATGTGACCATAGATGAGCATGTGAGCATGGAATTTCTCACAAATTTTAGTACAGACAGTGAAGACTTTGAATGGTAGGCCATCCTGGAATATTTGGATTTGGATGGGATGATGTTTTCAACAGTAGATGGTCTAAGGCAGGGAAATGGATTATGACTAAGGTGCCTTTGTGATGAAGTGGGTATGGATTAGAAATGCAGGTCATATTCACATATCACTCCAGAGTTGTGAACAGTTTGAGTCAACCTTGGACAATTGTCAGGGAAGAGGATAGTATCAGTGACCAGGGGAAGAGGTTCATGATACGACCAAAGATAATGGCTTCAGCATTTCCAGTGTCCCATTGGCAGAAATTTTAGCTCATCTAGGACAAGATGTCCACAATCAAATTAATATTTCATTTATGACACTCTACAAAGTTTACTTCTTTGGGCAACATCTGATCATGTCATTTGGCTCTATGTTAATTATCCTTTTTGCTCAATTCTTTGCAATGAAGCAGGAAGTGATTAAGTGCAATATAAATGTAAATTATTTTTGTTTCCCCATTTATCTTGTCAAAAACCTTTACAATTTTTACATTTCCATCAGATCTCAAAATATTTAATTCACGAAAAGCGCCTTAGTTTCTCAAAGCTCTCATCCACAGATATCCATGCCTTCAATGGCATTTTATGTGACCGTGACAAAGGTATATTTTCTCTCCCTATCCTTCTTGATATCTTTGGAGCCTTTAACACTATTGAACACAGTATTACCTTCCAATATTTCTATTGTTATTCAGCTGGTTGAAAATGCTTTCACCTGTTTCCATTTTTATCCTTATAGTGAAAGAATCACTTGCAGTGCCATCTTTCCCCGTTCTGACACAGCACCCCCTCCAAGGATCAACCCTAGGTACCCTCATATTTCTCAACCTCATGCTGCCTCTGGATGGCATCATCTGAATTGTCTGGTTGTGTACACTAAGGATACCCCAATCTACCTGACCATCATCTTCCTCCACTGTTGCTAAATTATCAGACCGCTTATCCAACAACCAGTCCTAAATGAGCAGAAATATCCACCGATTATAATATTGTGAAGACTGAAGCTATTATTTTCAATCCCCAGTCCAAAATCTGTTTCCTAGTGACCAAATCAATTTCTCTCCATGGTAACTGAGATTAAGCCAATCTATTTGCAACTGTGTTGTCATATTTGATCCCTGAATGAGCTTCGGACCACATCTATGCCATCACTAAGACCATCCATTCAAAATACTCAACTTCACCTCTATATCAGGCCACCTGCTGTTGAAACCATGTCCATCCCTTTATTTCATCTAAATGTGACCATTCAATGCACTTCTGCCCTTTCTCCAATATTCTACCCTTTGTAATCTTGAGATAATCTAAAACGTTGTTGCCTGTGTCCTGGGTTGAATCTGAAATTATTTTCTTTACGAATTTGACCATGGCTTCACCCTGTCTTGTCTCTGTATTCTCTTCCACCCTCACAGCTGTCTGAGATATTTACACTCCTCTAATTCTGTCCTCTTCTGTGCCCCCAGTTGTATTTGTACAACCATTGCAAGCATGCCTTCTGTTACCTTGACTCCAAGCTCTGGAATTATTTCTCATCTTGGCCTGTCTCCCTTGCTTTCCTCCATGAAACCTGCCTCTTTGTCCAAGATTTTGATAATCTAATCTAGTGTCTTCTTATGTGACTCAAAATCATTTTTTGTTCTGTCATGGCCCAGAGAAGTGTTTGAGAACAATTTCTGATGTTCAAGGCACTTAACAAATTTTGGTTGTTGTTGAGTGCAGAACCGTTATTCTAAATTTTTATATGTGTATGAGGTACTGAACAGTTTTTATTGAGACGAACATCTTTAAGCACTTGTATTTAACTGCAGCTATTGTACATTGTGGCTATGTGTCAGTTCATTTGAAAATTCTGAGATTTAATTTGGAAAGACAGGGGCATAAACGTTGACAATATACCTTGTTGTGCACAAACGTCGTTGATGACCTCAAACCAACAATTTTAAAAGGAATGCCAGAAAAATACTTTCTTCCTGTTCTGAGATTTGTGCACAACCTGACTGAGTGGTGCTGTGGAGTAGAAGCCCTTGTCCTTCAAGAATGTCTTTTTGCGACTGTGATACCAGCTGTGGCCTGTAATGCAACAGTCACAGGTTTTTGATGCTGATACCCGTTTCAAACTCAAACCCATTTACTGCAATGTGCACATTTTCAACCATGCTGGTAATTCTCAGAGGATGCCAGTCCAGCATTAATGCCCAAATCATCAGTCTGTGGGCACTGAATTTGCCGGAGTCTAACAGAAGTTACAATCAGGCATTGTCTTCTAGATTCTAAGGTAGATTCAACCATGCAACAACATCAGATCGTCAGTTTGGAAAATTCTTACTGGATACACTGGTGAAGATTGAACACTAAACTTGGCATCAGCTTCGCCCTGTTTTAATGCTGCAAGCGAATTTGTAGGGTTTGTTGCTGACTGATGCTTTGGAAAGACATTCTTGAGAATTTGAACCAAAAATAAATCAGTCCGATGATAGATGCATTGCAAGCTGTTGAAAGGTGTTTTGTTGTTGTCATATTGTAAAATGACAACCGATAACCAATATCCAAACTCTGCAGTCTATCTTTCCTCTGCAGAATCGCGCAAACATCAGAACTCCGGGGTCGTAAGGAATTCATGTTTTGAATTGTCAGCGGGTCTTTCCTTTTTCGCGCGATTATGACCGGACCCTGGATATAGTTCTCCACCCGGTTTTTCTTTGACACTCCGTGCTGGCAGGATGCTCTTTGTGGCGGAATTGGCTGGAAAGGATCACCAGAACCAGGAAACAGAAACAACGTGCTGGAGAAACTCAGCAGCTCTCGCAGCATTTGTGGAGACAGAAAGCAAAGTCTGAAGAACGGTCACTGGACTCTGTTTCTCTTTCTCCACTGAGGCTGCCAGACCTGCTGAGTTTCTGCAGCACTTTCTGCTTTTGCTTCAAATCTTCAGCGTCCGCAGTTCTTTGTGTTAGTTTAGACCAGAACCCAAGAACCTGTGTATTTGAGAATACGATCCCAACCACCTTACCATGACAACACCCGAAATTATGCCTCGTAGAGGTTTTCTGGTTGAGAGATTTTGACGGGTAGATTGAGAAAAACTTCTCTCTGACGTGTGGGCCAGGAGCCAAAGACGACAGTTTTAAAATCGTCAACTTGGGTCCGAGATTTTCTTTCTACCCGGAGTTTCAGGGATTGGACAGTTTGAACTGAACCGTTAGGGGAAGCCGATTCCGTCAATTATTTTCAAAGTGATTTGGATATTTACTTACGGATAAAGAACTTACAGGGTTACCGATAAAAGGCGAGCACACCACTTCTGTGATCTTCCAGCAAGCCATGGGCTAAACGACCTCCCCTTGTTCTCCAATGTTTCGAACTCTAGATTTACACAATGAGGTTCCAGTCAGTATGAATCTGCTTCTGCGTTGAATACTAAAGCTCTCGAGTGTAATGTGTATATATATGTATATCAAAGATGGTCCGGAGTCTTAAATAAATTACCGTGTGCCTGATAACAACTCTCTCCTTTTCACCGTGGCATGAAATAAGATGGTCTTTCCAAATGTACACTTCGAACTAAGCAAAGCCACTTCACAGCGCACCACAGTTACTGTTTGAGCGCTCTCCATATAGGACCCAAAACGCTGGTATCCGATTCCATACTGACCGTGCTCTTTCGAGGCATACTTTCATGGCAGATTGTTTGACATTGCCCTTCCGCTCGGGATATCTGAAATTCAGTGCTCGGCGGGTCGAAACGGTGCACTCCCGTTCCCATTTCTGATGTTTAGAAGTCGTTTGGAGAACCCTGCAACAGTACAGTTAAAATCTGGCTCTGTTAAAAAAATACAAATGTGAACAGACTCGGATTTAAAACAACGTCCCGTTTAATAAGATTTTCCATGATTACACGGCTCGGAGTACGAAATGTCACTGCATACTTATTGAGTGTCAAAGCAACTTCTAACGCCACGAAATCGCTTCCATTTAAATTATTTTTAAAAATGAAGTGTGTAAGACTGTTTGTGTCTTTACCCCGCATTGAACACACTATTCAATATTCTAAATAGATTACTGACTTAAACTGACTGAAGTGATTTACAGTGAGTTCTGGCGTTATAACTTGGACTGGAACAAATGAAATGTGGTTTTAAATCAAAATTGTAGGTCTGTAAGGTTTATGACATGTCGGCAGCAATTTTACAAAGGGTATAGACATTGAGCCAGGCGTGAAAAATCTACCTTCCCTGAGAGAAAGGAAGGATTTCCAGCGGCCAATAGAATGCCTAAGGGAGAAAAAGCATTCGTCCTTGAACCTGCCTGAAAAAGCGAGAGCGAGCCGAAATGCCAAAGTGTACCTCACTCCAATTGTACAAGGGGTTCCCCGTGAGAACTGACAGGACTTCGCGCTCCCCTTGATCTAGTTCCAGATTTTACACCGAATCAAGCGCAATCATTTCATTTTGAAGCATTTCCTTTCAACAGCAGACCATTTATTTCGTTAATTCAAAATAACATCAGTCGTGAAGAGACATTCATACAGTCACATGCCCATTCATTTGCAAAACTTTAGTTTGAAATAAACTTCTCACTGTCCGGGCACCGACTATGCGGCCTGAAACCGGCGGACTAGACTGTGTAGACAGATCTTTTCTGTTCTCGGCAAAGGATCTTTTTAAAAGCCATTCGGAAATCCTGGTTGAATATGGTGTAAATAACCGGGTTAAGGGAACTATTGCAATAGCCGATCCAGAAGAAGAATTTGAAGATGGCAGGTGGCACAGAGCATGTGGCTGGGCAGATGGCAGTCAGACTGTAGGAGAAGAAAAACGGGAACCAGCAGAGAACAAAAACACCAATGACGACAGATAAAACAAAAGTGAAGCGTTTCTCTCTGTTCTGGGTGGCTTTCCTCCTGATTGTACTTGGCGTCCAAGGCTTCTCTCGCCCCACAGAGTGCTCTCCTTCCCTTTTGGAAGTCGAGTAGCTCTCATCCTGATGGAGCAGTTTGGTGGAACCGAGCTGACCATCGCTTTTATGCGCCTTCTGTTCACTGCAACGTCCTCCGTGACCCGAGGACGGAGCTTTGTCCGCTACCTTGGGTTTGGTCTCCCTCTCCGGCCAATTGGGACGGAAGGATGCGCCTTGCTTTGGCTGTCTGCTGCCGGGAGGCTGCCTTGTTCTCTGTTTGGCCACCTGGTAGATCCTTATGTAAACCAGAATCATGATGACACAGGGAGCGAAGAAAGAGCCGATACACGAAGACAAGATGTACCACTTCTCGTCATTCAGACTACACACGGGGATCTCGTTTTCGCCAAGGTTTTTGTTCATGGAGATGAGAGGCGGAAAGGAAATAACTGCAGCAATGAGCCAGACTGTCAGAATCACACAGCGGATTCTCCTCGGTGTTCGCTTGGAATTGTACTGGATGGCTTGGGTAACTGACCAGTATCTGTCTAGGCTTATCGCACAGAGGTGGACAATCGAGGAAGTGCAGAACAAGACATCTAACGCCAGATAAACTTCGCACCAAATCTTCTTGAAGTACCAGTAACCCATCAGTTCGTTGGCCAAAGAAAAGGGCATGACCAGCGTGGCCACCAAGATATCCGCGGCAGCCAGGGAGACCAGGAAGAGATTCTGGGGGGCTTGCAACGATCTGCTGGTCAGGACAGCAATGATGACCAGTATATTCCCAATGATTGTGAACACGATGATAAAGCTGATGGCAGTGGCGATAGCCGCGGTACTTCGAGGCGAGTAAGGGAGGGGAAGCAGGCGTCCTCCCCACACGTTTTGCTGGCTCGTGTTGCAGACGAAGCTGGCATTGCCACGAAACACTGGACACTCCACCGATCCCATCGCCCTTCGTGTAACCTCTGGTAGTTGGCGTTCGCCTAGAGCAGTAGTACGAAGCTTAAATGGAAACGGTCGCATTTTATCTGAAACACGGTCATATCGAAAAGTATATTCCTTGCTCAACTTTCTACTGGAATGTGTATTCTGATTACATGATGCAGGAATTAATTCGGCAAAGCTATATTTTTCAGAGGGCACTCCAAAGGGATCACCACCTGACTGCAATCTGCAACTGTTTCTGTTCGAATGGCCCTGAATCTTGTAGTGATCTGCAGTGTGCTTTGGCTGGTTACAAGGTCCCACCGGCTTTTGTTCTATTTGGTGTTCTCTCTCATTCTGCTCGCCGACACCCGCTACAAGCTGCACTTAAAAGGAAGCATCGCACCACGAGCAGCTCCGAAGACACGTAAAAGATCACGTTACTTCGTTGGCACCTCCCCACAGTCAGTCGCTGCCGGCATCTGCTCCACGCCTTCCAACAAGCATCACTAGGCGTCATCAACTGTTATCATCTTTTCTGAGTCCAACAACGACCGACGGACAACTTGGTGGTCAGGGGGGTGGGGGAGCTGGTGACACGCGACTATATACATCAGATAAAATCAGAAACATTGGATTCTTCTCAAAGAACATTTGTTGTCCATTTTGGCGTTTGACTGCTTAGATAATGGATGGGCCGAAAAAGCAATAACATGTTGCCTGTATTATCGACATCGAGTATCCTGACAACGTGTATACAAGAAATTAACGGAGGTTATTTCTGGTGAGCATTGGGCGATCTGGAAGAACCGTGGTTGTAATTATAGTTGAACGAGTTCATTTTAATGAAGGAACTACCTTGCATCATGATTTATAATGATTAAAAGACAAGTTTGACCAAACCTTTCAGTCGTAAGTGTGATTCAGGTTTTCAGGAAAGTCTTAACAGACCTCCACTAATTGTCACCAAACGGTTTTTAAATAAAATGTTAGTTACCATATCACTTTGTGGATCAAGTCCTGCTTGTACAGAAACCTGAAAGCCTTTAAGTACTTGATTCTACATCAGTCAGTAATTGACGCACCCTCCTCTTTTCTTATGGTTGACATTCAACTTGTAAGTGCTTTGCCTATTCAATGCGATCAGCGCAACCATTTAACATGTACAAATCCTGAACCAAATTCGTGGCGTCACTCTATTAAGGTCACATCTGATCATTTTCTTTAGCTGATGAATTTTATATCCATACCTACCTATGCAAAGTGGGATTTGTAAAAATTATTTAACAGAATGTGAGGTTGTTGACTGGGGCAGATTTGTTGCCAATCCCAAAATGCCCAAGAGAATGTCATGGTAAGCTTCCTTCTTGAACTGCTGCAGTCCCTGTGCTGCTGGTACTTCAACAATGCTGTGAGGAAGAAACTTCTCAGATTTTGAGCCAGCGATAGTGAAGGAATGGCATCAGGATGTGTGCGGCTTGGAAGTGAACTGGCACTTGTGCATCAGTTGCCCTTGTGCCCTGTCCTAGATGGTGCAAAGGAGCCTCAGTGAATTTGTGTAGTGTATTTTGAAAAGTTGGGGTGGAGGGACTGAATGTTGAAAATGGTCAATGAGTTCCAAACAAGGAGACTGCTTTGCTCTGGATGGTGTAGAGTTTCTTGAGTTTTTGGAGCCTCATTTGTCCAGAGAAGTGGACAGTATTTCATCACACTCCTGACTTGTATGATGGTGGAAAGGTTTTGTGGAGGATAGTTGCTTTTCAGTAGCAGTTGTTGCTGGGTCTGTTGCTGCAGTAGATCTCTCTCTGCTACACTATCTCAGAATTCTCTTGATGTTTATCCTCCTGGGCTGCTGGTGTTGCACGGGAAATAATCTGTTTTCTGATTTTGCCTTTTGCCAAGTATGTATTTATGGTATGTTACTGTATTGGAGCAGTTATTGTTTAGTAGCGAACTAATGTATCATTCTGTTAAGTTTTTCCAATAGAGTTACAGCTAAGCCAATTCTTTTCTTTATTCATTCTTTTGTTGTATTTTAACTGGAATGTGTGAATAAATTGTGTTTTGCTTAACTGCGAGTAGTTTGACCAATCGGATTGCACATGGAATGCAACACCTTATGTTTATCTTTAAAATAAGAAAAAGTTAGGGTCTAGATGATCTTCTTAATATATTTTGAAGGGATTTGGTCTGGTCCATAACAGATGTCAATGACCCCCTTTCATCACTTTGCTGAGGAGTGAGAGTTAACTGACAGCATGGTAATTGGTGAAGTCGGATTTGTCTTACTTTTTGTGGAAAGGACATGCTTGGGCGGTTTTCCACATGTCCAGGGGGATGCCAGTGTAGCAGCTGCATTGGAACAACTTGGCTACGGCCATGGCCAGTTCTGGAGCACAAGTCTTCAGTACTGCTGCTGGAAGTTGTCAGAGTCCATGGCCTTTCCAGCATTCAGTACCTTCAGCTATTTCTTGTGATCTGATGGAGTGAATCAAATTAGCTAAAGATTGGCATCTGTGGTACTGGGAGCTCTGGAGGAAGCTGAGATGGATCATCCATTCCATACTTCTCGATGAAGATAGTCTCAAATGCTTCAGCTTTGTCTGTTGCATTGATGTACTTGACTTTCCTTTCATGGGAATGGTTTATTTATGAAGTCATCTCATCCTGTTTGTTGATTAAAAACCGAAAAAACTGAGAATGCTGTAAATCAGAGACAAAAGTAGAAATTGCTGGAAAAGCTCAGCAGGTCCCCAACATCTGTGGAGAAAAATCAGAGTTAACATTTTGGGTCGAGTGGTCCTTCCTCAGAACTGGGGAAGGGTCACTTGATTCAAAGCGTTAACTCTGACTTCTCTCCACTGATGCTGCCAGACCTGCTGAGCTTTCCCAGCAATTCTCTTTTTGTCTCTGTTTGTTTAATAATTGCTCACCAATATTCACATTGGATGTGGTAGGATTGCAGAGCTTTGATTTGATCCCTAGATTATGGAATTACTAAACTGTATCCATTGCACAGTGCTTCACTATTTAAAATGCATGTAGTTCTGTCTTGTAGTTTCACCTCAGTTGATCTCTTTTGCACTCTTTGTTCAGCCAGGGTTGATCCCCTGACATGATGGTATTTGCAGAACACAGGAAATGCAATTGCTGTCGTATAGATCCACTGAATAGCATCAGTTGCAAGGCCCCTTTGATCCCTTGTAATTTTTTAGGGCTGAATGTAGCCAAACTGACTCATCTCTGGGGCTGATTTCAGTCCTGGCAAAGCCAGTGTAAAGTTAGATGCTTTTTACTTCAGTACCCTTCAGTCTAAAGACCCATCCCAACCCAGCCTTCTCTTCCAGCTCCACACGCCAACTCACAAGGTTCAACAACTACCTCCCCACTTTTGCAGGTGTCTACAGTCCTGCTGTTATAGATTTCCACTTTCCCCTGCAACCTCACAGCTCTGGAACCATGGTACTGTTGTAAGTTATGATTTGGAGATTATGACTATGTTGATGTTTAGGACCCTTCTTCTTTTTCTGAAGAAGGATCCCGACCTGAAACATCAACTTTCCTGCGCCTCTGATGCTGCCTGGCCTGCTGCACTCCTCAAGCTCCACACTGTGTTATCATTGGAGCTGAAATGTAGTCTTCAGTTTGCAGCAAACTTGCCTATCAATACTGTGGATTGCATAATGATCCCAGCTGATGTTATCACTGGACAACTCAGATCCCAGACTGAAAACTGGCTTGATGCATCATGTTGGTCTTTTCCTTTGGTTTTAATGAGGTGGAAACCTCATGAAACATGAGCACACAATGTTACAGATTTGGTTTTAACAACAAAGCAAGTTTATTGTGCAAAGGAAACAAAGATAAAATAGAATAAAGCAAACTATGTACATTGACTGCAAAGTTACAAATTTTGAATACATAAACAACAATCCCATTATTCCCAACAGCACTCATTTAAAGTGCTCAAACGGAGAGAAATTCTTTCTCTGTCACACTTAGGGTTTGACCTAACTGTGGTATCGATCCCTGAGTCTTGAAAATGTGATTGCTTCTTTCATGAACCTTCATAAAACTGACGTTACACTTTATCAGCTTCAAATTATTCTTTCAGGGTTCTACCTAAAAACTTCTCGTCTGGAGCATTCAAATTAAACTGCTGATACCTAGGGAACCCATTTCTTAATAAATTCTAAACCATCTCCTTTATCGTGAGTAACAGTTCATACGTTGAATTTTAGCAAGACTTCTGCAAATTGGCCAACCCAAAAAGGCTTTCTTCAAGCTATGGGTGTTTTCCTAATCATAACAAAAAATGCTAACCTTCAAACCTAAATGCTGAATGCACAATTTATTTTGTTTCCTGGTGAAAATCTCTCCCAGTATTGTGTTGTAAAGTGCAGGATTCATATACATAATATTTAATGTTATTTGTTGTCAGTTTGGTCTTTTGTTTTTTGAGTTAGTAAGCAATGGGGTGTCTGTCTGTCTTAAGTAACTATTTAACTTGAAAGTATTTCTGTATCATGGTGATTTATTTTAAAAACATCTTCTGAAAACTGTTTTTGGAGTGAGTAAGTTTTGTGCATTGCTAATGGAATTTTGTTCATTTCGATTGTTTTGCGATGCTGCATGGTAAATAATGGGGCCTCAAAGGTTTGTTAGAGTTCTGGAAATTGCTGTTTGTAAGCTGAAGGAAAACACCCAAAGCTGAGACAGAGAGAGAGAGAGATAAATGGTTTTAGTTTCACTTTTGACATTGGCTCGCAGACCTGTGAAATCCTTAGAAAAGAATGGCAATGCAGACCAGTGTTCCTGAGAAGGGAAGGGTATACAGTGTTACCTTAGATTGAGGAGTTAGTGTTAGTCCCAGACTCAAACCAGAAGTTTTGGAATTAAACACTGAAGAGGTTATGTGAAGTTGAGTACATTGAAGCTCAGGTATGTGAAGGCTCCAACAAGAAGCTATATGCAGTTTTAGCCTTTAAGTTGAAGGGTGGTCAGTGCCTTGATGTTGGCCTCGTTGAGGACGCTGGTGTTGGTGCGTCTGTCTTCCCAGTGCATTCACAGGATCTTGCGCAGGCAGCATTAGTGTACTGCTCCAGTGCCTTGAGGTGCCTGCTGTGGACAATCCATGTCTTCGAGCCATATAGGAGGGCAGGACCACCACAGCTCTGTAAATCATGATCTTGGTGTCGGATCTGATGTTGTTGTTCTCGAACACCCTCTTCCTCAGGCGGACGAAGGTTGCACTAGCACACTGGAGGCAGTGTTGGATCTCCTTATCAGTAGCTGCCTTGACCAACAGGATACTCCCGAGGTATTGGAAGTGGTCAACATTCTCTAAGGCCTCCCACTGGACCTTGATGAGCGAGGGTTCGCTCCATAATGTCAGGCCAGGTTGGTGGAGAACCTTCATCTTGCGGATGTTCAGAGTGAGACACATGCTCTCATATGCCCATAAAGGTGCTGATGATGGTGTGGAGTACATCCTCTCAGCATCATCTGCATACTGCCGCTCAATGACACTGGTTGGGATGACTTTGGTTTTGGCTCGAAGGTGGTGGAGGTTGAATAATTTCTTGCTGGCTCTGTAAGTTAGCTCCACTCCAGCAGGGAGCATGTTGGCAGTGAGGTGAAGCATTGATTAGCTGCGATGGGCTGGGTATATTGTCCGCATGACCGATATGAGACTCCCTCCAAGCTCTACTCCCAGCTTCGAAACAGCAGGCAGGCCTCAGGTGGACAGAGGAAACGCTTCAGTGATACCTTCAAGATCTCACTAGAGAAGTGTGGCATTCCCACAGGCACCTGGGATTCACTGGCCCACGACCATCCAAAGTGGAGGAGGAGCCTGGTCAGGGAAGGCATTGAGCACCCCAAAACTTGCCATCGGGAAAAAGTGGAAGCCAGACAAAAACAGCGAAAGGAGCATACCACCGCACAAACACCCCACCCATTCCTCCCTGCGAGAACCTTCTGCCCCAAGTGTAACAGAGCCTGCGGTAGCCACATCGGTCAGTACAGCCACCTACAGACTCACCCTGAGAGGGGAACAGAGTGATCCTCACCTGCATCGAATCACCAATGAACGAAAAATGAAATTGAAATCACAAGTGACTGAACTGACCAAGGTGTTAGATAGATGGACTCAGGTGTGAGCATGATATGAGTCATGTTTGGATATTATACAAATGCTTTTGTTTCTTTTCGATTTATAAAGGATGTTTTGTGCTTAATGAGAATGTGTGTTTAAATCATTTAATTTGTGTTATCAGTGCAATGATTGTAATGAGGTCAGCTAGATGGATCTCCAAGAATCTGAGTTCCCTGTTTGCGGCAGTTAATCTGATCCAGTCAGGGAGCCCTGGCTGACAGAGACAAAAGAGGCTTGTCAGAGATTCTGACACTCCGAGAGCTGACTCAGAATGAGGTAGTACTAAAGTCAAGGACTGTTCATAAAGGGTGACTTGGAGAAAGGCTACCGGCCTCTGTGGAGTTATTTCACCCCCTGATTAATCTTTCAGTTCCTTGGTAATGAAGAATCTATCTACCTCTGAAAAAAAATGGAAAGAATCTCTATTTACTTTAGAGGAAGGGAATCCCAAAGACTCACCATCCTCTGAAAGGAAAAATGTTTCCTCATCTGTGAGTTAAATGGATGCCCCCTGATTTTTAAACTATGACATCGAATTCTAGATTCTCCCACAAGAGGAAACATCCTTTCATGATGTGCCAAGTCCCCTTAGGATCTTCTATGTTTCAATAAAATCTCTCTGACTTTTCTAAACTCAGAGTATACAGGCCTAGCCTGTGCAGCCCTTCCTTTTAAGGCAATCTATTCATTCTAGTTATTAGTCCTGTAAACATTCTCTGAATGCTTCCAGCACATTAACATCCTTTAAGTATGGCGATGTATATACAAGTGAATCTACACAGTACGTCAGACATGTCTTGTCAATGCCCTGTGTAACGGAAGCACAACCTCCCTCTTGCATTTAATTCCCTTTACAATAAACCATAACATTATATTAGTTTTCCTGATTACTTGCTGTACCTGCATATAACCCTGTGCAATTCATGGATTAGGACATCCAAATCTCCCTGCATCTCAGAGCTCTGCACTCTCTCACAATTTATATCATACACCTTTTTTTATATTCTTGCTGCCAAAAGGGACAATTGCACACATTCTTACATTTTGTTCCATTTGCCAGATCTTTGCCCACTCACTTGGGCTATCTGTATCCCTTGTGGGCTGCTTATGTTTTCTTCACAACCTATCCTACCTGTCTTTCTTATCAGCATATTTAGTTACTGTATATTTGGTCCCTTCATCTAAATCATTGCACTATATATAAAATAGTTGAGGCCTCAGCACTGACTCCTCTGGCACACACTTTGTGACATCCTGCCATCCTGAAAAAGACCCACTTTTCCCTACTGTCTGTTTCCTGTTCGCCTGCCAACCTTCCATCCATGCCCATTTGTTACCACAAACACCATGAACTTTTATTTTCCTCAATAACCTTGATTTGGTGCCTTACCAAATGCCTTCCGAAATCTAAATACAATGCATTCACTGGTTTTCCTTTATCTGTAGCATAATTTATTCATTCAAAGAACTCATTTAAATAAGTTAAACATAATTTTCCTTTGGCAAATCGTGCTGGCTGTGCCTGATTGTCTTGAACTTATACAAATGGCCTGTTCTAACATTTTCTCAAAGGATACAAGAGCAAGCAAGTTATGGTCACCACACTGTAATATAGTCACCACTACGGTCACCAGACAATAGCACATGATTGCTGAAAAGAGGGTGCAGAGGAGATTCATTCAGATGGTGGCTGAGCTAGAGCAATTCAGCTGTGAAGAGAGACTATATACAGGCATTTTTATTTTCTTGGAACAGAGATTACTGAGGGGGAGGCATCTGATTGAAGTGCACAAAGTTCTCAGAGGCATTGGAGATAGTAGGGTCTAGATCTTGAAGAAGGGTCTAGGCCTGAAACGTCAGCTTTCCTGCTGCTTGGCCTGCTGTGTTCATCCAGCTCCGCACCTTGTTTTCTTTTTCTCAGAGGCATTGATAGGATAGAGAAGGAGAAACATTTCCCCTCAGTAGAGGGCTCCCTAACCAGGGTAACAGTCTGAAAGTATGGAGCAGGAGGTTTAGAAGGGAATGATTTTAGCCCAGAGGGTTGCAGATATCTGGAATTCACTGCTTGAAACGGTGGTAGAGTTGCATTTGGGCAAATGGCTTGTTTTGTTCTGTGAATTCAGTGTAATCATGTTTGATGGAAAATACTTCCTCTGTGTTGCAGAATTCCAGTCAGAGCAATGTGACATGAATGTTCTACATGCAACAGAAGTCAAAATTTTGGAGGAAATTGTTTTGTTTCCTTTGAATTTTGAGAGTTTGAGGTAAAAGAAGGGGAAGTGAGGACAAAAATATGGCCTATGTCTTTGTTTCATTGAAAACAATTGACCTTTATTTCCTGTGGGCATTACCTCAATATCTTATTAGGTGCAGAAAGACATATACAGAATTTGTCAACTCGTCATCATTTAAGACAATGGCAAGTTGCTCTTTTTTTGGTTTTTGATCACCTTATTCTTAGTCTTTACAACTGAAAGTGTGATAAACATCTGTGCCGTATAATAGGTAGCTGCAATAATTCCAGTGTTATACAAGGGAAAGCAGTACATGCTCACAGCATAAGTGAAATCAGATACTATAAAAAGCATTCCTCCAATTGTGGCAAATAATTTGATGCAAGACCAGTGCTGATTGAAGAGTGTGCCAGCACTAGCACGCCAGGCCATAGTTCCAATTAATGTGATGTAGATGTAGGCTGCCCATTGGAAGGGCTTTTGATCCCAGAGACATCTGTTGAGGAACAGCATATATATGGTGCCAACAGCCACAAGGAAAAAGCCTGCTAACAGGTTTAAAGGTTTTGTGCCAAACATCCAGATGTAGAAAACGTGTGCGAGCCCAAACATAGATTCTCCTGAAACAAAAAAAAATCTTCCTAGACACTCAATCATTCCATTCTCATCATCTTCTTCATATAGATGCTTTCACATACCATCTTTCTCTAATACTCCTACTATTTATCTGTGACTGCTAAAGCTTACCTAAAACTTTGCATTTTCCATTTATTTTTGATTTTTTTACCCCTTTCCTGAAGCAGATTTTTTTCTGAAGTGTCTCTGCTACATGGCAAGATTGCTATTCTTCACCTAAAGAGGAACAGTAAATACTATCACAGGGGAGTCTGATGAAGTCCTTGTTTGAATTTTTTTTCATGTAACTTATTTTTCCTAATCAACCTGTTCAGAGATGTTATTATACACCTCTGGAGTAGGTGGGACTTGAACCCAGGCCTCCAGGTCCTCTGCATCGCAAGAGGGCCCTTCCAGTTGACATCCACATGAATTAGAATTTCCACCTGCCTCATCTGGATGGCAATGTGGATTGGGAAAACTCACACAATTTTCTCTGTTTGAACTGCTGGACACTGAGACCATTTCATGCAACCCAACACTTTCTTGACCAAAATAAACCATCTTAACAAAGACTAGCAATCAAACCTCAAGCCTTCTACTTTGTAAAACTTAGTGCTAAGCTAGCTGATGTCTTTATGTCATACAGTCATCGAGGTCTGCAGCACAGAAAAACAAGCACCTAAGTATTCCAATCCTATTTGCCAGCATTAGGTCCATAGTGTTGTCTGCCTTGGCTTTGCAAGGGCATACCAAAATATTGTTCAGATGCCTCTACCACCCTTATAATCAGTGATTTTCAGATACCCACCACCCTTAATTGAAAAAATGTCTCCTCACATCTGCTCCAAACCTTTATCTTAAATCTATGCACCGGTCATTGATCCCTCCACTAAGGGGAAAGCTTCCTTCCTGTCTACCCTTTCTATTGCCCGTCATAATTTTATACATCTTAATCATGTCGCCCACAGTCTCCTTAGCTCCAAAGAAAACGATTCCAGCCTATCCAGTCTCTCTTCAAATCTCAAGTTCTCCAGCCCAGGCAACATCCTGGTAAGTCTACTCTGAACCCTCTGCAGTGCAGTCACATCTGTTAAATAATGTGGATTCTAGAACTGCACTCATTACTTTAGCTGTGGCCTAACCAACGTTTTGTACAGATCCAACATGACCTCCTTCATCTTAAACACTCTGTCTCAGCTGATAAAGGCTAATAATACCTTATGACTTATTAACTATTTTATCCACATGTCCTGAAATCATAAGGGATCAGTGGACATACACACCAAGGTCTCTCTGATTCTCAGTGCTTCTTAAGGTCCTACTATTTATCTTGCACTCTCTTGCCTTATTCGTCCTGCCCATGTGGTCACTTCACACATATCCAGATTGAATACAATTTCCTACTGGTCAGCCCTTCCCATAACATAGTTCACAGGGGCATAATAATTTTGACATTTAGCCAGTGAAAAGATTGAGGAGCTTAGCTAATTATCTCCCATTGGGCAAATGAGCACTAAGTCACTCTGATTACAAATACTACCTGACTCATTTCTCGCATTTTCTGCAAATATTAGAAATGTGAGGATGGGTGACCAAATGAATAGAGATAAGTACCAGGGAGCCATTTCAAACATGAAGTTTAGGGTGGATACTCCACAGATTGGTACGCAGACAGCTGAAGGCATGGCACATAGTCATGGGCCAGTGAAAATTAAGAATGCAGAAGATGCCAAAACTGGAACATTGCAGAAATTTGGAAGAGTTGTAGAACTAGAGAAAGCTCCACAGTTTGGGAAGAGACAGGCCATTTACATTAAGATAAAAAGAGTGAGCAATGGTGATGGCTGACTAGGATTTGGTGTGAGTATAAATACAGTCAGCAGAGTTCTGAGGGAGCTCAAGTCTTTGCAAGTTGTTAGGCTGGAGGCCAACCAGGAAAGCAGTGGAATAATCAATCTAAAGATAACAGTAACATGGATAAGGATTTAAGACATAGACAGCCTGAGGCATATGTGGAGGCACAAAATGATACTGAGGTGGAAATAAGAGATCTTCATGAAGGAGAAGGCATGGCATCAGAATTTCATTGTAGGTTCAAATATGACACTAAACATATGACAAGAGTCTATCAATCTCAGATTGTCATCAGGGAGTAGAGTAAAGTTGGTAGTTAGGACATAGAGTTTTTGGCAGTGACTGAGAGCAGTAGCTTCTTTCTTTGCAATATTTAAATCCACAATCCATTCTGTGGAATGATTTTTTTCTTTCTGGCATAATTTTAAATTCTAAAATTACAATCTTTTGCTCGCTTCCATCATTTTAAATTTTAGGTCAAATTCAGTAGCACCTCAGTTGTTTCCCTGTGGGTACAATCAATCACATCTACTCAGTCTCAAATCATAAATTTTTGAAGCAGTATCATGGAAGTCCGATGGAAACAAGATCTTTCTCTCCACCTCTCCACTCCGTGCCTATCCCTCCAAGCCTATTATATCTCTCCCAAGAGTATCACTGAAATATGTCAGGAATAATGTTTAACATTTACATAATTTCTATAAACTGCAAACCTTTAATCTATTTTCCAAAACTTACCATGCAAGTGATATAGCTGTGGAGAAGTGGTCCGGAAGATATCGCCTGCCGCTGAAAATAGGAGGCCTGCAAGGAGCTTTTGAGCTTTGTTGTGTGTGTACATGTTTATTTCATGAGTCAAAATGTATGTACACAGAAACAAAATGGGCAAGCATTTGAAGAAGGCCTTCACCCACAGGGGACAAGAAGACTGCGGTGCCAACACAAAGTAAATACAGACACTCAGCAGGAAGGGTACAAATCTGCACAGCTCCTTCAGAAAGAAAACAAATAAGAGCTTATTAGACTCAGAAAAGAATGCAGCATTATTCCTCAAGTGGCTTCTGATACTTTGCTACAAGTGAATCAAATTGTGTAACTCGTGAGTGGTATTTCATTTTTGGCGATTCTGCAAAAGAACCACAGAGCATTGTTCATGGTTCTGTTCTTATTCAAAAAATGTTTAGATTCCTGATCCTTCCAGCTATCTCCCTGTTTTACAAAGTGCAGATTCGTCCGACCAGGGTACAGTTCCACGTGTACCAGCAACTCTCCAACATCCTAACTAAGTGGCAATTTCTTGATATACATCACTGTAATCCAGCTCCAGTTTACAGCCACACCTTATCCTGTTCACCTTCTACGTTTTTAAATTTTCGATCAGGAGTTTTTGAGACCAATTGAAGACTGCAAACTGACACCCCGAGACCAAGATTAAATTTGGTCCTTTGCTAGCTGTGTGGGCTCACTGCTACAGAAAACTATTTTGTCCATCATACCGGAGCTCATTGTTTTAAAACTCTACGAATAGCTGTGTTTCATTGAACCAATAGGTTTTGCTGATGTATTTTGCCACATTGTGGTAGAACACAGTCATGCACTAAAATATCTCCTGTGGAAGGTCAAACAAACAAAACTTTACCCTTGGAAGGAAGTAATGTGGTTTTCCAGCAGAATTAGAGGCTCGGTAATGTTCAGGAACCCCTGAATGGTGGTCACAGAATCGGTCTCATTTACAGACAGGCAAAGACCCATGAGTACACCTAGGCTGTCCCACATCGCTGCCATGTGTTGTGCCTCACAATAATGTACAGTTAGCAATCCACTCAAAAGGTACGTAATCTCCGAGAAGGAGAATAAATAATATTTTAGAAAAACCCACGTCAATTTGCAAGGAAAAAAATTGGGACTTTTCTTTCACACTCCTTCAGGTGAGCAAAACCTGTCCAGGATACCGGTCTGACCACAATCACTCAGCACGAACTTTTTACGCATGGCGATTCCCACCCAAGCCACAAACAGGTGAAGGGATAAACTCAGCAAATTCGCTCCTGTAGTAGATGAGATGAACACTTGTCTCAATATTCCTAGCTTTGGGAAAAATGAGCCAGGATTCTTGTTGTTGATTGCCATGCAGCGCGTACGCCTTCACAGAGCAGAATTATATTTGAAATGATTGTTAAGAATAATCGGAGTCCAGGCACTGACGCCCTGTCTCGATTGACGAGGAGATTGTTATGTTTGTAGAATATAAAAGAATACATTCCTTCAGAATGAGGGTGGAAAGACGCCAAAAAAAGCGAAGCCATTCCGACAGGAGGCAGAAAAGCTCTTATTTGTCCTGACAGTGACGTTACATGGGTGGAACCGACATCCCGCAGACACATGTTAAATAAATTCCTTACTTGAAATGCGACTGTTTTCCATTTCATAGCCATTGTTGTTTGATCGCTCCCAACCGGATCAGTCACTCACAACATGGCAAAGGGACACCACAAACTTCAGCATGTCCACCCTCCAATTAGTTTCTCATCGCTGCCTTCCGAAATGTTTGACCTAAGTCCCGGCCGGAAGCTGGACTTTATCAGAACTGACTTCTGTGCAAACCTGCCTACTGCTGAATGCAGACAAGCTTCTACTTGTGCGACAATCCATCCTCCTTTGGTGGGAGGACACAAAGAATCAAAAAAGGGATTGGTCTTTCCAAACTGGCAGCTTCCGCGAGGCTGAACAAGTTGTAAAAATTTCGGAGGACTGCAAATCTTATCAGCAACTCCAAGAAAGCAAAATGTAATTTGCAAAGGGCTAAGAGTTCAAATTTTGACATCAGCAAATTGATGTCCAGTGTTGAGATGCCAGTTGTTAAGCCCATATTTCTGAGAAATAATTCGTGAATTGTGTGAATAGGACACAAGAAACAGTAAAATCCTCCAATGTGATTCCTGGTCTGTGCTAACTTCTTTTATCTTTGGCCAAGTGATAGTGTAAGTCGATAAAGAGTCATGGAGTCACACAGCATGGAAACAGACCCTTCATCCAACCTGTCGTGCTGACCAGGTTTCTCAAACTAAATTAGTCCCATTTGCTTGCGTTTGGTCCATATCCCTCTCAACATTTCCTATTCATGTACCTGTCCAAATGTCTTTTAAATGTTGTAACTGTACCGGCATCTACCACTTCTTCTGGCAGTTCATTCCACAAACCACCCTCTGTGTGAAAAAGTTGCCTCTCAGGTCCCTTTTAAAATTTTCTCCTCTCACCTTAAAATTATGCCTCCCTGTTTTGAATTCCCCTACCCTCGGGTAAAGACCTTTGCTGTTCACCTTATCTATGACCCTCATGATTTCATAAACCTTTATAAGGGACCCCTCAGCCTCCTACCTCCAATGAAAAATATCCCAGGCTATCCATCCTCCCCCTCTAACTCAAACCCTCCAGTCGTGGTAACATCCTTGCAATTCTTTTCTGCATCCTTTCCAGTTTAATAACATACTTCCTATATCAGGATGAACAGAACTGTACACAGAACTCCAAAAGTGGCCTCACCAATGTCCTGTACAACTGCAACAGGATGTCCCACTTAATATGCTTTACTGGCTTAATATACTTTGGTAATGTCTACAGCCTGTGATTTTTGTGAGCCTGCTCTTTACAATCAATTACTTTTGTACTTTAAGATGTGCAAAGCCAAAAATGAGCCGATAGAAGCCTTTGATCTGTATCATCGAATCTATATTTTCTGGCAGTATTTCTCAGTTTTGTTTGGATGTTGTCAATAGGCTCATCTGATTCCTGTCTCAGGCCTTAAAATTCATACTGATAAATCCAGTGTTTTGACTTTGTCTAAAAATATGTGCCAAACCTTTGAAAAATATTGACTGAGTTTCTGCTGTCACCTTCACTGTACTTTGAGCTATTGAAGAAATTTAACCTTTCCCTCCTGCCCACAAAGGCCGTTTCAGATTCCTTCATCTTCCATAATTCTTTAGAAAGGTCCTGAATGTCAGTCTTCACTTTTGTTCAAACTTCTCAAATGTATCTTGGACATCTCCTGCCCCAATTCATTAGAGATAGAATTCTGCCCTATAACATTGCTGTTACAGCCATTTTGTTTTCATACAATAATTTAGTTTTCCACATTTTCTGCTACAACTATAGATTTATTTTCAATCCAATTCAACACTAAATTCATGTAAAATATTTGATTTTTTATTAACATACAGCCCACTGCCACCACGTACATAATTCGCCTCAGTGCATCTGGCTGAGGGAGATGTGAATCAAGTCAATATCACCGAGTATCTCGGAGAGAAATCTGAACCAATTTTCTTTTTGTCGTCTTGCTGTTTTAATTTTGATCGGCTCGACAGGGCAGATCAAAAATTGCGTGGCATTCCGTGCAGTACTGTGCACAAATCGAAAGCGTTATTGATTGCAAGTGTGCTTGTTTGCGTTGTTTCCCGTTCTTTCCAGCTCAGTCTTTTAACGTTTGATTTCATACCCTCTTATGCACGTGAGGTGATCATTTTGAGAGTCTCACTTCACCAGTACTCTGCTTGGGCTTGCGAATACGATTTTTGGTTAAACGTCTTGCATGGTTGTGAGATGCAGGATCTGTTTGAGTGCACAAAATCCCTATCAAAAGTTTCTTTGAATCAAAAATTGCAAATAGCCATTGGCCGGGACAGTGTAACATAGCCGTATGTGTGTGTGTGGACAATAGAATCATTTAACAAAACGAGGCAAGGTAACATTTTTTAACCAATAAAACCCAACGCCATTTCCCAGAGGGTTTTAAGGTTTGACCCGATGGGTTAATACTTCTCCTGACTGGCTCCCAGAAGTCAGGGAACTTGTTCCATGCTCCATCAGAGGCCTGTCGATATGTTCCATTCAACCGTTGCACACATGGGGTGGATCCGGAATGGCAGGTTTACAAGGCAGAAGTCACTTTCCGGTTTTCGGCTCTTGGTCTCTGCACGGCGTCAGGTAAGATTATGGTGCTGCAATTGCTCTCCGCAGCTGACCGAGCACTTCCATGTGTAGTTGACCACGAACTGACCTTACCCTCCATCCCGCTGTGACAGCTAGAAGATGGAAGGCTTTGCCTTCAGGCCAGGGCAGTTGCGAATTGTCCGTGCTCATCCTGAGTCGGCACACCGACATCGAACACAGGAATGTCACCCTTTTGAACGTGCTCGGGTGCAGAACGGAATCAGGAAGTGACTGCAGTGCTGGACTTATTTGAACCGGGTTACACAGCCATAGAGTCATACAGCGCGGAACAGACCCTTCGGCCCAACTTATGCATGTCGATTAGGAATCCTAAACTTAACTGGCAGTTTATTGTCACGTCTACTTTCACATGGAAAATACAGTGAAGAGTTTTATTAGTTGCCCCACCACCAGTCCCATATGCCTGCGTTTGACCCATAATTCCTCTCAACCTTTCCTAATCGTGTACCTGTCCAAATGCCTTTTAAATGTTGGAATTGTACCCACCTCTGCCACTTCCTCTGGCAGCCCGTTCCATACACGCACCACCCTCTGCGTGAGAAAGTTGCCCCTTAGGTTCCTTTTAAATCTTTCCCCACTCACCTTAAATCAGTGCCCTCTCCCCCCACCCTGGGGAAAAAGACCTTGGGTTGGCATCGAGAGTAGGGAGGTCTTACTCCAACTATAAGAAGCTGATGAACCCACATCTGGAGTACTGTGGGCAGTTTTGGTCCCCTGATTGAAGGAAATATATGACCTGTTGGAGGCATTCAGAAGGCTCACTCAGTTGATCCCCAGGATGGAAGGATTGTCTTATGAGCAAACGCTAAACAGGTTGGGACTCTACTCACTGGTGTTTAAATGAGAGGTATTCTCATTCTCATTCAAACATATAGGATTCTTAAGGAACTTGACAGGGTAAATGCTGAGAGGATGTTTCCTCTCATGGGAGAGTCTCAGAACAGAGGGCATAGTCTCAAAATAAATAATTCAAGGCAGGGATGAGGAATTTCTGCTCTCAAGACATTTGGAAGTCCTTGGAATTCCTTGCCACAGAGAGTCCTTGTCTATATTTAAGACTGAGAAAGAAACATTTTTGGGGAATCAAAGATTCTGGAGAAAGGACAGCAAAGTGGACATGAGGAATGTCAGATCATCCATGATGTTATTGAATAGTGGATCAGGCAAGGGGCCGAACAGTCTCCTCCAGTTCTTCCTTCTTGTGGTCTTATGGTTATCCCAGGGAGGATCAGAAGTGCAGCACCGGAACAAGAACTGTCCAACTGTAGGTACCAGGCATCAGGTTGTTGCCAAGAAATCAACCAAAATAATACTACAACTTCATTGCAGATGGCTGCACTCGTTTCCATTTCCAAAAATGGCTGGTCTTGGACAGCTGGATTCTGGTTCACCCAGCTGTGTGATTTGGTTATATTTTGATGTCTTTCATTTTGGATTTTGAACTCGTGACATGTGGGTTAAGGATTAACTTGTAAGTAGTTGTAAAGCCATGCTACATTTCTTTGAAACACAGTACTATAAAAGAGAAAGACTGCCTGGAGGGTGATGTGGTTTGTTTTTCTTGGGACAGTTCAATTTTATCAGCGAAAAAATGTAAACAATGTAGAGCATTGGGCTTCAGTGAGATGGTTCTGCAAAGGAATTGCTTTTGACCAGGTGAAACACTCGTAGCTTGAGTTGGATTCTGCAGTCTTGACTGAAGGTGATGTGTAAACCAATTATCCCTAAAGAAGGGAGACAGTTTAGAAATAGATTACCTCTTTGCAATGTGTTTACTTTTAAAGTTCCAATCAAGGAGTGCTTGGCTAAAACCCTGAAGGGGCTATTTGAATATAACTAGTTGCATTATATGCCAATGGTTCCTAGCAATTCACTCATATTTAGAATTTGTTTGTTTGTCATAAATAACAGCTTTGTTAAGGACTGAAACCTCATTCGTACTTTCTGTCAACTTGGGTTTAGATTCAAGGTATAAAGATCCCTGGTCCAGTGGTGGGCCTTGGCAGGTTATGTGTGTCAACCCCATTTCACTCTTGAATTCTCTCTCTTGAGGGCTGTTGTGGTGCAGTGGTTGTTTCTCTTCCTCTGAGCCAGGAGGTCTGAGTTGAAGTGCTGCCTACTTTTTTTAAGTTCATTCACAGGATACAGACGTTGCTGGCCAGACCAGTATTTATTGCCCAGAGGGCAGCTGAGAGTCGACCACATTGCTGTGGGTCTGAAGTCACATTCAACCCTAGCTGGGTGAGGATGGCAGATTTCCTTCCATAAGGGGGATTAGTGAACAAGATGGGATTTTCCTCAACAATCAGAAATAGTTTCCTGGTTTCATCATTAGACTCTGCCATTGGTGGGATTTGAACATTGGATTTGACATCACATGGGTGTCTTGTTTCATATTCTCATGATAATACTATGAGGTCACAACTCCTCTAACTGCATAAGTGTGTCACAGTGTCTCTGAATGAGTTATTAAATAATATCTTTAAGTATTTTGTTGCCATGCGGCATACCTGACAAGTCAAACTGAACAGGTTGCTGATCATCTTTCTGGGGAGAGATTCTCTCAATAAAAAGCTGATTGCCCCACTCCCTCACTCTCCCTGAGACTTCCAAGCTGGGAAACATTCCCCCACCCTA